ATTCGGACCTAACAAGGGACAACGAAGTGGGTGCTAGTGAAGGGTTGACGCTCGAGAATGAAAATGAAAGTTTACAGGAGCCAGGTTTTTGGGGAAGGTAACGAGTATCTTCCCCCCCCCAGACCCAATAAAAGCTTAATTGTTGTCTTTGTGTTGACCTACCCTCATACGTCAAATTACGGCGAATTCATTGAGAAAGCCCATCCTAAATGGCACCACCCCAAATAGGGAATATCATTTTTGTAATCAGGACATCAAATTTCCCTATTTCTTGTCGAGACTTTCCCAATCGCGAAAATTCTGTATAAAGCTGAAGAAGCAGCTACGGTGGAAATGGAACGCTATTAAAGCACCAACGCCAATAAAGACGTCCCGGTAAGAGTATTTAAAAAAGTCATGTCCCACTCACAAACGGGGACATCAATTTATAATAAGTTGAAGGGGAACAAAAGTAGAAATTCTGAACAAGGTTTACAAAAGGAGGAAAGGTAGTCAACATGATGTTACTACTAACCTGTACAGCTCGAAGAAATAAGTAAACATATTAGCACAATTCGAATCAAGCTCGTCTGATTAGAACACAAGATTGCACCCTGCTGGAAAGGTGCAACGATCGCCATCGAGTAGACTGAAATTCCTTGATGGATCTCTTTAAAAAATAAAAAAGTAGACGAGAAAAAGAACACCTTCACTAAGTACTCAAGCACTCTTGATAACATCTATTCAGCGATGACGACGACGATGAACGAATGTTGGCCCGATGAATATGACTGAAAAATGCGGAAAATAAAACAAGAACAAAAACGGAAACTACACATCATCGAAAAATGGAATCAAACGCATCGATATCATAGACGCAGAGGCACGCAACGATAAATCCACGAATTTCCCTATGGTGACGTTTCCTAACTGAATAATGAGCAATACTGTAAAGACCACCGATGGTTTTGTGTGAATAGCAGCCAAATACACAAACGCAGTAGTGAACTGTGCAAACCAGCTGTTTTACGCGTTCCCACAACCCGCAACCTCAATAAAGACTTGCCAATGGAGAGCGAACAAGATCTGCGAGACTCGAACTTACTTTAACCACTTAACTAAAACTTCATCTAACACATCAGAATCCAAAAATCCCCTCAAATGCATTTATGTGAAGCTTCTTCCTTCGCAGATCTTGTTCGCTCTCCATTGGCAAGTCTTTATTGAGGTTGCAGGGTGGGGAACGCGTAAAACAGCTGATTTGCACAGTTCACTACTGCGTTTGTGTATTTGGCTGCTATTCACACAAAACCATCGGTGGTCTTTACAGTATTGCTCATTATTCAGTTAGGAAACGTCACCATAGGGAAATTCGTGGATTTTCGTTGCGTGCCTCTGCGTCTATGATATCGATGCGTTTGATTCCATTTTTCGATGATGTAGTTTCCGTTTTTGTTCTTGTTTTATTTTCCGCATTTTTCAGTCATATTCATCGGGCCAACATTCTTTCATCGTCATCGTCATCGCTGAATAGATGTTATCAAGAGTGCTTGAGTACTTAGTGAAGGTGTTCTTTTTCTCGTCTCCTTTTTTTATTTTTTTAAAGAGATCCATCAAAAAATTTCATCTACTCGATGGCGTCGTTGCATCCTTTCCAGGTAAAACAGGTAATCTTGTCAAGGGATCAACAAGCTGATTCGAATTGTGCTAATATGTTTACTTATTTCTTCAGCTGTACAGGTTAGTAGTAACATCTTATTGACTATCTCTTCGTCTTTGTAAACCTTGTTCATGAATATTCTACTTGTTCCCGGCTTTCACCTGATTATACATGATGTCCCAGTTTGTGATGCATAGACTTTTTCAATACTCTTACCCAGGACTCTATTGGCGTGTGCATTATACGTTCCATTCACCGAGCCGCTTTTCGTTGCAGCTTATACAGAATTTCGTGATTGAAAGTATCCGACCAAGAATAGGGAAATTTGATGTCCCGATTACAAAAAATGATATTCCCTATTTTATGGGTGGTGCCATTAGGATGGGCTTTCTCAATGAATTCGCCGTAATTTGACGTATGAGGGTAGGTCAACACAAAGACAACAATTAAGCTTTTATTGAGGTGTGGGGGGGGGGGGGGGGAAGATACTCGTTACCTTTCCCAAAAATTTGCTCCTTAACTCTTCATTTCATCTCTCGAGGCGAAAGTCAAGTCCTTCAACCACCACACCCTACGTTGTCCCTTGTTAGGTCCGAATAACCACAGACCGTCTCCCACTCATCGCTATCAGCAACCACGTACTCTCATCGCGATTTTGGCTGTGGGTCTCTAAGTCCTCCTATTGAGAACCCCCGTCCATGAACAAAGTTAAACCCGTCCGTTCAAATAGTGCGAACGGGCGATTGACCCTGCTCCTTACCCATACAGCAGGGCGTGAGTAACATCTCCCCTTAACCGAACTTCAGACGGGCCGTAGAAAAATAACATAACAAAATAAAATAACAAAATTACAGCGAATTTGACTGTGCAAAATTACAGCGAATTCGGTAAAAATAGCTTTGGAGCTAAAAATTAATGTTACATTCATAACAAGATACCAAATAACCACACTACAAATTTACACCGAACCTTGTAGGCAGCCCTGGCGCTACTGAGGAATACATTAATACCCTGTTTTCGTACTTCAAGGACCGGATTTAATCCCTCATGGCTCAAATTCGGAGAAAAGCTTAAATTCCTGGTTTCCAATAAGAAATTGATCAGTGCCATTTGTGGCACAAACTTCCGAATAGATTGAAGTTATACGATTTTTTATTGCTTATAAGCCTTATTAGGCGGAAGTGGTGCAGTGACAAGTGGCGCGCTCACCACGCGAGCGGTCCGGGATCAAATCCTGGGTCGTGAGTCGCCCGGGCCAACCAAGCCTTCCATCCCTCCGGGGTCGGTTAATTGGTACCAGACTTGTCTGGGAGGATAAAAACACTGACTTGTACATCGGCTGGCCCCCGCAAGTCATTGTATAGGCCACATCGCATTCAAACGCCAACCTGCGCCGTCGGAAATGAAGAGAATCCGTGCCGCATCCCAAAACGGGATTGATCAACGCAATCTTTATCCTTTTATTACCAGATTAGTCCCCCGTCAACCGCCGGGACCTTCCTTTCCTGCGCAAGCTTTCTATCCTCCGCTATGGTCCCTTCCTCCTGTGACACCAACACCTGGAAGTGACGCGTATGCAACACAATGGTGTTTCATACAGTAGAAGGGACACAATCATGATATGACGGTAGATTTTTCGCTTCCCTTCCTCATCCTCCCTTCCTCTCTCCACTGCCCTCCAGCTGCCACTGCAGCACCATGTGGAATGAACGGAAGTGTGCTAAGCAGGTGTTTATATAGCCCTAAGAGTGTTATCACAACTATCCTGCTACAAAACATTGATATCTCAAATCCTGTAAGCTACCCGATTTGTTAGCGGTTTGTTTATCCCATGAGCTTCCTTCTCACTCACTTCATTTTGCGGACGGACACACATACATACATACACACACACACATACAGATACACAAACCGACACACAAAGTTAGCGCTTTATATAATAGAAGGATTTAAGCACAAGTTGTTCGAAACCAGTGAGCGTCTGAACT